ACATCTTTTGCCCAAACTGGGTTAAAGATAGAGTGTGTATAAAGCAACTCCCCCCTCCTCCTCTGGAATCACTGAAACTGAAAGGGGGAAAGGAATAGAACATAAAAAGAAATGCAACAAAGATGAAAGTTGATGAAAGTCATGAATCTGCTTCATAAATGCCTTCAAACTGACCTCCTTACACCATTAATATTTTGCCAATTTGCTGGTACCCCCCTGGTACAAATCCTGGTGATGCCAATGTACAGATTTTGTAATTGTCATTTATAAGTGGAACCACATTTCAGAAAAACAATTCATTACAAAGTAGTGACCTGAAGGGACGGAATCAGCCCAGTTATGAGAAGCTGCTTTAAAAAGCTAGGTTTTTTATGGTTTATTTTGTCACTGCCATATGTGCTCAACAGGCTAGTTTATGACCAACAATCTGTTTGGATCCCCCTAAAAACCCAATCCCTCTAAAAAAAACCCAACTTTGACGCACCTCCTTGTCTTGTAACAGTGACATCAAAGGTACAGGTAGCCCGGTTGTTGGAGAAGTCGGCGGCTGTGTAGGTCACAGGGGTTACTCCCTCGGTGAACAGGGAACCAGACTGGCGGTTGCTTGTCACCAGAGGTTGTCCTTGGTTGTCTGCAGCGACTGGGGGAGACCACGTCACCCGGACAGTCGAAGCATCTCCTCTGAGAATAGCGGTGGGAGGACTTGGGCATGTGATGGTCGGCATGATACTGTCTACGACTAAGGCTCCTAGTACATCAGATGAAATTGATCAGGTTATTTAATTGAAGCTCCACACCAACACGTTACACATTGGTGATAAGCTGGAAAGCAATGTTGGCACAATTTCAGGGACAAAAGCCCCTATTTGACTGAAGAAATAAAACACCTGTGCTTGCGTATTTCAAAAAGGAGTGAGGGAGCAATGCCAATCAAATATGTCCGGTCAAAATTCAGTCAAAATGCACCAATGAACAAATGCTTGAAGGAAAAAACAACACACACAAAAGAAAGTTGTCAGTCAAAAATCAAGAAAAAAGTGTCCACGAGTGCGACAATCAAGGTATGCACTCTGGTATACTTACTGTAAATGTCTGTCAATTTACAAAAAATAAAATGCAACATTTAAACCATATGTTGATTCTCAAACCAAGCACAATTCTTTAGGTGTTGAGCCACTCCACTTTCTTCATCAGAACAAAACATCAAGTTCTTGAACTGAGAGAAGATGCTCGTGCTGTAGTGGCTAGGCAAGCAAATGTTCATGTGTGCCCAAGGGTTTTGCAGTCCAGAACTTTTCCTGGTCATTCATATACATGTACGTACAAGCCAGCAATTACATGTAGCTATTCAACACTCAAAAATGGCACCTTCCAGTGAACACCTTAAAGAAGCAGCTAACCGTACTTTGTAAGTACTTCTTCCAGGATGATATCTTTTGGAACTCATTTGTGCACGATTGAACAAATGCTAGAAAACAGCAAATAACAATCTAAAGCTCAGTACGTGTAGTTTCACCAATGTGTGGCAAGAGAGAAAACCACAAGTAAGCATGCACAGCAGACAGTTACGCTTATCATTGCAAAACCACACAAACCTCATGATCTGTTTGACATGAAAATTGCATATTTTGCCTTGTGAAACCTCTCACAACTAGTTCTGAAAATAAAGCTATTTTGAGAGTAACAATATTTGCTTGATTTGAGCATTTTAAAATGTGCATGCAGAAAAAATTGCCTTGAAAAAAAACTTTTCTACATGGAATTTTAAAATAGGAACTTGAAAACTGGAATACTCAATAGCCCAAGTATTACAACAGTCTGCGCAGAACTAAGTATTCCATGATGGCAGATTAGAAGTTGGTGCACCAAAATTTCAGGAGAAATTTCAGGACCATCCAAATGAATTATATCAGCTACATACAGAATTCAGGATGGAAAGGCAGAGTATGTAAGAAAAACAAAATGGAATTTGACTGAAAAATTGCTAAAGGTAGGAAATGTGTCTTACGGGTGACTAGGATATTGAATGCACAAGTCGCCAAATTGCCGGCGGCATCCGCGAAGACGTAGATGATACGGGTGGACGTTCCGGCCGTAAATTCCGAGTTGGGCATGTGTGACCGGTAAAACACTGTCCCGTCCACAGCCTGCGGCTCACTCCATGGAACATTAATGGTTGCCTGGGAGCCAGCATCGAAGGAAAAGCTTGTCGGACAGTTGATAACTGTAGGTGGGGTGGTGTCTGTTTGCAAAAAAGCAAAACAAATTCGAGCATCAATCTGACGGACTAGCTAAACTACCAGCCAGTGTTGTGGCTGAGGCCTCTTAATACATCACAAGGCATGCCAAAGACCTTCAGTCTGAATGCAAGTCACAAGCTACTTAATTAAACTGTAATAAAAGCCTTCCTCTGTCACTGTTCACCCTGTTACTTGTGACTGGTTTTGCGATGGTCTCGACCATAACACTATTATACCAAGTGTAAATCTGATGCTTTGCCAGTGTGAAATTAAATGAAAAATCAAAAGAAACTAGAAATAGAAAATTACACATGCAGTTTATTTTTGGGAACAGTGTTTTAAATTATATTTGCCTTCTCTCAAACAATTTGGCACACATCTTGCACTGACTTAAGGTGAGACTCTTAAAAAAGGAAAAAAACAACCAAACCTGAACAACCAAGTGAACCGAGACTACTGTTGTCCTTTCCGAATCAGTTTTGCCTTTAAAATCTGACTGTCTTTTAAGATCATGCATCAAATAGACATTTGTTAAGTACTATTTCAGCAAATATGACACAAATTGGTGGCTGTGCTCTGGTCACAGCAAAGCTTTACACACCTGGCACAACCCCATAACTTCAATTCCAACAATGAGTCCTTTGGTTAGAAATCATTCTTTTCTGTGGCACTACAGACAGGAGGCTTGATCTCCCCAAACAGTAACCCTAGTCCCTTTGTTCCCTCCACGCACGTAACTGAAACTGTTCCAATATATTTCTGAGAACGTGTCGTTGGATTTGATGAGCGAGTCCACGTCCCATACAACCGGTGGATATTGTTCCACGTACCAAACAGCTTTCAAACAGATCAAGATGCCTTACTGCACCCGACAACCCACCTGGGGCCTCAATGTCGCAGATGTTGCCGCTGAAGTTTGGAGGACAGGCGCAGGAGAACCTCTGCCCACTCGCCACGCAGCCACCACCATTCAAGCAAGGGTTGGGAACACATGGATTAGAAACTGGTGGGTCAGAGTAAAAGAGATACAGTTTACCTGTCACACCGAGACTGGTGGAATTTCCTCATTTAAAAAAATGTGATAAATGAGATAACAGAGTTTATCTACAACTGGTGCTGAAACTGGGCATTCAGCAATGTGCCTTGTAACACTGAGCTTTGCACCTTACCAGCATAATTCAGTGAGATGTAGATTTGATTTGATGAAAATTCACACAGCAACTGTGCATATTGAACTAAAAACTCTGTACGCTTTCTGTTCTTTCAACTTCTAAAAAAGTAAGCCGCTTTGACAATTTAGAACTACATGTAGCAACACTATAAATTGGGGGTTTTCTCAATAAACGAACAAAGATCTTTAAAAAATATTTTCAATTCTGCTGGTAAAATCCTTTTCCTCTTTTCGGGGGAGGGGGAGGAGGAAGGAAGGTATAGTTAAGGGAGGTACAGGATTGGTCCTAAATATGAACACTTACATTGTATTTCACAGTGCTGTCCGAAAAACCCAGACTGACATGCACAGCAGTAATCCACGGATTGCAGGTAACTGTTGTAGATGTTCATGCAAGTCCCACCGTTAGCACAAGGCCGGAAAAGTGTCCCACAGACATTCATGGTGGGTGCAGTGGCTGTTGAAATTTTTGAAAAGCATAATTTTTGGTACAGATGACATAATATTTTGTATTAGGAGTATAGTGCTTATCTAATCTTGGGGTCAAAAATGCCATGATCAAAATCTCTGGCCCTAAAGTGAAGCATGTAAGATGAAAATAATTTGTTAAATGTTCTTCAACCTGAACAACAGGAGGACAATGTCCCTTTAAAATGTCAGTCACAATGAAATGAACTTGTGGGATCAAATCCAAAACCAAATCCACGGGAACCAGCTTTTTTGGTTGAAGTATTTTTTTACAACTCACCAACAGCCGTGTTGCAGTTCACACCAGTGAGGAATGTGTTACAGTTACAGACATACTGGCCAGTATAGATGAGAGGGCTGGTACTGTGGTAGCTGTTGCGGCACGTGGAACCAGACTGACATGGATTGGAAGCACAAGAGTCGATGGCACCAGCATCAGCTGCAAGATCCAATTAAAAGAGCTCAAGAACTGCTTGCACTGGGCTTACAATTCATGTTTTGCACATTGATAGCAATAAACCCTGAAAGTCGTCCCTTGCATTAGTAGCGGAGATAGCATGCCAAAAATTTAGAAATTTTCATGCATTTATATCTGAATAATGTCACCTATAAAATGGCTTCAGTAAGATATTGGCAACCTTTTTAGTTTACAGAAACTAAAAAACAACCTGACCTGGAAATTTTATACTACAAATTGGCCACTCACTTCCAAAAATGTAAAGAAAATGATGACTAATGCAACTCTGTATACTAATTAACAAATGAAAAGTTAGATAATCGTGTTACGGTTGTTCTGGTTCTGGGTTTTTTTTAACAGAAGACCAAAAGTAGTTTAGTAATTTATAATAAGAAAAAATCTAACTAAAGGATTGATCTGCATCAGGCTGGTCGACTGAATCTAGAATCCATCCATTGTAGGAAGGATAATCTTCATAATGTTAATCATTCTTGTTTGCACGTACATACATGCAAACAAAAATGTATAGCATTGCTAAGCGAACACATGACGTGTAAACAAACGTGCACGAACGACAGCAGCTGGGAACGATAAAAATTACAGAACATGATAGGGCGGCCCCATGTAAAATTCCAATGGCCAGGCTGTGTGATGGGTTTGGAGGCTCGCCATGTGACCTTCTACTTTCAGCTTCTTGTATTTTTCATCCACATGTGGTTCGCAGATTTTTGAATCTGCAGATGGCATGTACACATCTGCAGTAATCTGCAGATGGCATGTCCACATCTGCAGTAATCTGTAGATGGCATGTACACATCTGCAGTAATCTTAGATGGCATGTACACATCTACAGTAATCTTAGA